CAGCAGGTACAGCAAACTCCAAGTCAAAGTGTATTTATGCGATTTACCCCCAATACTACCAATTAACAAAGGCTTTAAAAATACTTTTATGCTACTAGCTAATAAATATTGCTATTTATGAAATAAGCTTCTATTATATCTTGTCAATGTTGAGGCTGAATTGGGCATTTACATTAATGGTAGACCTACGTAATATTTTTATATGCTTTTAACGAATGCAGTTTCTTCCTACAAATGAGTGGGAAGAAGCAAGACTCACAACAATCCGGGAGCAGTGCAAGGCCGTGCTGAGGGGGTTATAAGGCAGAGCAATGGGGAGGGTGTTCATGGGAATCTCAGCCACAGGAAACCAAGCTGATTCCTGGCCCCGGGGTTGATGTTTTTGGTCCCATCGACTCAAAAGTGCTGTCTTGTTTTCATTTCATGAGTTGATGAGTAATTTGGAATCAACATTATATTGCTTCTGTTTGGAGTCTTTAAGAATGAGCTGATGTCTTCATGCCAAAGGAACTTTCTTCTCCTTAAGAAAATACTGTTTTGTGTTAAGTGCTATTTTTGTTATGAATCACATGTACTTTCCTAATATTGGGTTGCACAGATGACTAAATTCTCTAATTTCTTGAGAATTCTTTGATATTTTTCTACATTGGTTATTAATTAAACTATTGGTGAAAATCTTTGTTTTCCAGTTTGCAAAATCTGGGTATGGATTTCCTTTGTTGATCTTGTATTCTGCTTTGTTTTAAAACATTATTTCCATATATTGCCCCCTTATTTTTTTTCTAGCATATTTTAATCAAGAGCTGAATATTTTTTTCTCCATATTGGCTTTAAGAATTGAGCATATGTGTAGTGAAGTAGGTGACTGTGTGGACGCTGGAGCCAGATTCCAGGTTTGAATTCTGGCCTTGCCACCTTCCAGCTATGGGATCCTGGGCATGTTACTTAAATTCCCTGGGCTCCAGTTTCTTCATATGTAAAAGAAGGATAATAATAATTCTTACTTCATAGAATTGTTTTGAGCATTTAATGAGTTAATACATGAAGGAATTTATAGCAAGGCCTGGCCCATCATAAGTGTGGTATAATCATTAGATATTGTTATTAATCGATATTTTAAAAGCTTTTGTTTCACCATGACCATGTCGCTGGTGTGCTAATGAATCTAATTCATGCATTAATTTGTACACGGACAGGGCTTTCTTAAAAAACGCTCACCTCAAGAAGCTGAAATCCTTCGGCAGCTGTACACCAAATCTTTCCCCGCCCTGTATCGCTTCAGTATTCAGAACTTAGAACACAAGATGGAGATGCTCGAGGCCTTTGTCATCATGCAGAGCATTAACATGCTGCAAGGTCTGATCCCTCCGAAGGTAAGTGGCTCGGTTTTCTGGAGAATTTCTCTCTCATTGGCGGAGTCATACTGTGCAGAGGGCAATATTTGAAATTGCTTTTGTTAGAGCAGTGGGGAGAGGAGATGTTTCAAACATGGACCTGCATTTTTTTCTTTTTTTTTCCCCATAAAGCAAGCCGTGGTTTTGTAATTTAGTTGCAGGTTTGCAAACCAGCTTGGTTGGTTTTCCTTTAGATCAGTGTTGCACTGGTTTCCTAGTCTTACTCATCTTTCCCTTGTTCTTGTTCTTGTTGACCCTTTTATATCTTGGCTATTTTCCTTACAACATCAAAGCAAAGTTTTGGTTTGAGAGTTACGTAATTACATTTTGTTCTTTCGGTTCAGGAACAGGGTGTGGAGGTCACGCCAGGGCACCTGGGAAGGCTGTATGTCTTCTCCCTGATGTGGAGCATGGGGGCCCTGCTGGAGCTGGGGGGTCGGCGCCGGCTGGAGCACTGGCTGTGGTCTCAGGAAGCACTGGCCTTGGACCTGCCGCCTGTATCCGGGACCAACGACACCATGTTTGACTATTACGTCACATCTGATGGTGAGGATGCTCACTTCCATTTATGTGTAGCCCACGAGAACAGTTTTATATATATGGTGAAACTCTTGCATGTAAAATTAAAATGGAAATTCTCATGTGTGAAGGAAGCTAATTGTTTCTTTTTCAAATATCGTGTACTGAATTTTTAATGAATTAAAAACAAAATTAAACCCCCCCAAATCAGTTCCATATTAGCTATTCATGATACAATCAGTAATTTATATAAAAATTACAAAGTGTGAAGTATATTTTCACCAAATATGTGTGTACCTATACATCTATATCTATACCTATACTTTAAGTATTTATATGTGCATACATATATATAAAGTACATACATATCCTTTATAATAAAAGGCTTATATGCAAATCGACCAAACTGGAGAATGACCAGTTGCTATGACATGCACTGACCACCAGGGGGCAGATGCTCAATGCAGGAGCTGTCCTCTGGTGGTGAGTGTGCTCAGCCAGAAACCCTGAGCCAGGCTCATGGCTGGTGAGTGCAGGCTTAGGCCCGAGGAAGGCTCCCGGACTGCGAGAGGGTGCAGGCCAGGCTGAGGGATGCCCCCCCCCTCCAGTGCACAGATTTCGTGCACCAGGCCTCGCAATATTTATATATATATGCAATATTTATATATGGCATCCTAGGGGCTTATATTTTTTGTCTTACAATTAAGTGAGTAATGAACAAGTTTGTGAGGTTAAACATTTAAAAATGATTTTATGTACATACCACTGTCACAGTGTTCTGTATGTTTATACAGACTTTATGTTATTGAAAACCTACATATTTAAAAGAAAATTTCAGGATTCTTTGAAATATTTCTTAGTAGTATGAATTTGGAATAGCTCCTCGGGAAATTCTGACTCAGCTAACACATACTTGAATAGTACTTAGATCTCTCAGATTGTAATGATCTTTATTTTATGGGGAGTTTTTGGAAGATGCTTTATGAAATGTCAAGGATGTCTGCTCATTACAGTCAGTTAAATTATTAATAGGAGTGACTATGGTGAGGTGAATGTTCTGTTTACCTCAGGTAAATGGATGCACTGGAACACCTGTACCGAGGAATATGAGTACCCACCTGACACCACCCCAGAATATGGCTCCATCCTGGTGCCGAATGTGGACAATGTGAGGACGGACTTCCTAATTAAAACCATCGCTAAACAGGGCAAGGTATGGCTCTTTAACTTTTATTAAAAATCGCATATTTAAAAATGTCATTTGAGAACACGAATCTAAATGTTACCCCGATTAGTATGCTTCTTTTATTATTCTCCAATAACAATATTAGCATTGAATAGCTCTCATTCATAATTAATTATTTCTTATGAGAGAAGGTGAATTTTGACTTGTTTTTCAAAGAGAAATCCATGTCTTTGGATTATTGTATTACTTTGCTAGGGCTGACCTAAGAGCTGGGTGGCTTAAACAAGATACTCTAAATTACCTGTATTCATGGTGGACAAAGAAAGTCATGACAGTTGTGGCCACATATATGATCCTATCATTTGACACTACTCCACACAAGTTTATCAATTCTAAAAATATTCAAATGCTCACTACTGAAAGGGAAGGAGTTTGTTCTTTCTCTTTACATCCACATTGGTCCATACGCCTCTGTGGTGGCACTTTTCATGTCCAGTTGATTTTTGTTTTGATGTCTGGCTCCCCCATTGAACTGGTGTCATCCACGGCCAGATCGGGGTCTCACACACAGCGTTCTTACCCAGCCCAGTAGCTGCCTTACAGTGGGCGTCCATGCACGCTGGCTTGCATCTCTCTACGTTCTTCTCCATAGGACAGCTGCATGGAAACATACTCTCAGCTCTCAAAGCTACGATGATCACCCAACTGTGTGTCTGTCTTCTGATCCTGACCATTTTCCGGGTCTTGGAAAAGGAAGATAGTGCATACCTCACTGAGGCTAAAATTTCTCCACCAGCCTTTGAATTACGTTGTTCAGATTAACCACACAGACTGGGTGATTTATATAACAGACTGCATTTTCTCACAGTTCTGGAGGCTTGAAGTCCAAGATGAATGTGTCAGGTTTAACTTTCTTTCTGAAGCCTCTCTCCTTGGCTCACAGATGGCCTACTGTCCTCCCACTGCCTTTATCTGTGTGCGAGCTTCCCTGCTGTTTCTTTATGTATCCAAATGTCCTCCTCTTATACGGATGCCAGTTAGACTGAAGTAGGGCTCACCTTAATGCCCCATTTTAACTTAATTATCCCTTTAAAGACCTTTTCTCCATATATAGTCACATTCTGAGGTACTAGGGGCCAGAGCTTCAAAGTATGAATTCGGGGGTGGGGGTGGGCACTGCCAGTTCAGCCCATGACAATCATCTTATTGTATTTCTTGGATTTCTTTCTCAACCCCTGTTGTAGGCTGTGCTGTTAATCGGTGAGCAAGGAACAGCTAAGACAGTCATAATGAAAGGATTTATGTCAAAATACAATCCTGAAAGTCACATGACCAAGAGTCTGAACTTTTCTTCTGCAACCACCCCACTCATGTTTCAGGTACTGGCTCTTGGGGTTTGCTTAGCAGCCCAGGTTTGTGATAAACTGGAGGCTCCGATCTCTCTACCATTCTGCTGTGCCTGCTGAGCTGTTTCTCCACCCCCACAGCCATGAGAGATCCCTACATATGTCTTCCATTATCTCTCTTACTCAACTGCAGTAGAATTTCTCCCTAATTAGATTAAAACATATAAACATCTTAAATGATGGAGAAACGAAAAACGAAAAACATAAGGTATCGAAGACCTTGATCCTGTTTAAAATGTCTATGTAGGAAAGCCTGCAAAATCTAAAGTGGACTGAAAGAAATATTTATTCCTCCACCGAAACCTACTTCCTCTCCTTATTGTTGTTATCAAACCCCAGTTTTTGAGTCCCTGTGCCGGCATGCATGGCCCAAAGAAATGCGCGAGCAGGAGTTTGCAGTGAAGAAAGGAAGTAGTTCATTACTGTAAGATTGCCCAGTCCAGAGTGGGGGCGAGCTTGTGCTCTTAAAGACCCGACTCCCTGATGACCTGTACATTACAGACTACATAGGGCCAAGTCGCAAGATACGGTGGGTGAGGTAGGGGTTCTGCGTTGTGTTAGAAACTGAGTGGCCGGAGGTGAGGTAAGGGTGATACCTCATTTCTTCAGCTCTGGAGGGCAGCTCTGAGGTCTGCCCTGGCCTCCCTCTGTCTGGTTTCATGGAAAAGTAGCTAGGGGCCATTCCACCCTAGGACTCAGGAGCTGAAACATAACTTAGGCCAAGATGTTGTCTTAAGTCTAACAGAGATCCAGACCTTGTAACCATTAGTCAGGTCACAAGGCTTTTGTCTTCAGCTACCTCAGGGGTTAATGATTATTGGAAGAAAGTCTAGGTCCATAAGGTGGAGAGAGGGAGAAAAAGATGATTTTCTAAAGCTATAGTCACAAATCAAATAAAATCATTAGGACCCTCAAGTTTCACTGTCTGCTTTTCTGTGGGTGTTACCATTATTCTAGCCTTTAGGCTGGATCCATTGGAGGCATCTTTGATGGATCTCTTTTGAATCAAGGGCAGCTAATGTATCTAAGGAAATACTTGTCACATCCTTTCCTTTTTCTTCATTCTCCCTGTCTGCATCTACATAATCCACTTCTTGATTCCACACCAGGGGAGCAGCATGAAGGAATCCCCAGCTGGTCTTTGTTCAAGTCTAATTCTTTTACAGTCTACCTTTTATTCTCCTTCTAATCTCCGGTTCATATATTGTCACTTTTATCTGTTGTTCCCTGGCTTAACATTTCGCAATAGCTCCCATTATCAATTGCAACAAGGAATAAAATCGTAGGCTTTTATACTAAGGATGCTACCCTATCATATCATTGAAGAGTCACAGGAAACCCCCCACCCCCCACCCCGAACTTGCATTGCTTTTGTCAATGAAGCTGCCAAGAATGACCTGGGTTTGCAGTGGCTGGTTGGTTGTTTTCTCCTGTTCCTAAGTCATCTAAGACCCTATTGAAATGGGAGGAAATCCAAAGTGTCATTTCATGCTTCAATTATTCTTAAATAACCCCTCATATCTTCATCCTTCCGGGACGAAGCTGGGGGTGCAGCCACAGGAATCGAGGCAGCCACTGCGGCTGCGGCTGCGAGGGAGGGATCCAGGCAGCTATGGCTGCGAAGGCCTACTCTTGCACGAATTTCGTGCATCGGGCCTCTAGTGCATTAATAAAAGGACACATTTTATACATTGAAAATGGAAGGGAAGTTTTTAGGAGAATCCAAATCCCAAGAAGTTTGCTTTTGATTAACTTTGTTGTTCTTTAGTTGTCAGAATGAAAATATCAAAGAGCAATGAAAAATATTAAGAGCATAGCTAAATCATGGCATTTTCTCACTTAATGTAATTGGTGACTGCAGAATGCCAATAAACTAATACCACTGATTAAGTTTCTAAATAAGACTGCCAGCTATGTAATGCGCCTCTTTTAGAGGTGGCATTTTCAATACTGCTAGCCTTCAATCAAAGGAATACCATTTCACACTGTTGTGATGATGTTACTGGAAAGGAGATTTGGCTGGCCCTTGGCAGGTCTGCCTAGGCTGGCTTGTAGTGTGTGAGTTCTTTTCTTTGTTCAGGAACAGTTTCACAATACGAGTCCAAGTAACTATGAGGGAACATTTATTAAAGCTGAGGACAGTAAAACAAGAAAGGGCTTAGCATAGAAGAAGCAACAGGAGAGCCTAAGCTGGGCTGCCCTCGCTCTCTGGGAATTGAAGCTGTAACCTTGTCATATGTCTCTTTAACATGAGATATTTATTAATTTTCTGGAAAGAAGGCATGTATTACCTAGAAAGCAACCCCTTTGTTGATATGCAAATTCATAAACTATATAATAAACTTCTAACAATGGTACCATATTGAAGTGTGATCATTAGAAGAATTATGAAGCAGGATTTTCTGATTCACAACTACTTTAGACCAATTCCCTCCTGTCCTTCAATGTGAAGGTGGTATCAACAATTCTTTTGTTTTCTGTTCAGAAACATCCCAGGATCATATACTCTGTTTAGTGCCTGTTTTGACTGCTAAGCATCCAAGCTTTTGATTAAGTTAGAGTCATTAGTTTTAGGAAGCTTTCGATTAGCCAAACTGCTGTAATTAACATTCTCACTGTAATTTTTAGCCTTTTATGCAGAACAAGGGCTGATGGAGCCGAGCATTTGTTTCAGTATCTCCCACTTATCTGGATCCAAACCAAGTTGAAATTCTAGATGAGAAAATGGTCCTGTTCAATCATCCTGTGTTGCCATGATAGCACACAGTCTATTTTCAACAGGGTTTCCTTTGTGTTCACCATGCTATCGCTCTCATATCTTTCATCAGTAGAAGGACTGGCTGTATGTCCCTTTTTGCCTGGGACAGTCCAGTTTACTTCCATTGTCTGAGATAAATAATTAATGGCCTGCCCTGTCACGATCAAAAGTGTGTGCTTTGGGCAAAAATTATATGGTCACCCTATTCTTTGGTGGAGAGAATTCAGTTGGTCTTTTAAAAGAGACTTCTCATTTATTCCACAAACAGATATTGTTTTAATGTATTTTTCTATTTTTTTGAAAGTAATTCATACATATCTTTCAAAATTTAAGCAATACAGAAAGATAAGAAGAAAGTGAAAGTTTCTTAAGAAAATTTTCTAAATTCTGAATTTATCTCTTATAGGTTTTGTTTTTTAGAAAAATAAGAATCAAAGAGCTGGGAAGGAAATTCCATATTTTTTTCTAGACTCAGAACTGTGTTTTCAAATGCAATTGTAGGCAGAAGACTAAGCTACACAACAAGGAGCCAAGGATTTGCTGTGGTGGAATTGGAGCTGGGCTCCTGTGACCCCTTCTAGCCTCATCCTTGCTTCCTGCAGGGGTCCCTGCATTAGCAGAATATTCTTTTGACTCATCAAAACACAACTGGAAGACGGTTTTGCAGAGGGAGATTATGTGAAAGTATTTTTTCGTGGTAAAGTCCCCTAAAAATGTCAGGTGTTACTGTTAATATTAATGCACTCAGGTGGAGGGAGAGGAAAGTTCACACAGTCAGTGGCAAAAACTGAGAGAGAAACCCAGTTCCCACGCCTTCCAGGGTGCTTTCCCAGCTCACCTCTGTGCTTCCTTCTAATGGCTTGTCTTTATCCACATTGACATTCAAATAATTGATTCAGTACTTAGTAGTGCATTTGTTTTATTTTTACCTTGTAATTATGCACTATTGTATTTTCATGTTGCTTGCGATATCATTTTACTATTTATATTGTACATTTTAACTCTGACTAGTGTACGACTATTTTCATTTGGTTCGCATGAATTATAATAAAATGGGAAGATCTTAGATAGGCAGTAGATTTATTTTGTATCCAAAATGCATTTATTGGGATGGTTCCCCACTCACCTCCACTTTGACTTCTGCTTCCTTCTGAAGGAGCACCCTCTGGAAACCTTGCCTTTCCTTCTCTTGGCTGACAGAGGACCATGGGGCACCAACACACGCAACTACCATTTGTACAAGGCTAACGATGGTGGTGATTTCACAGCATCCTGGGCATTTAACATCCAGATAGTAGGAATTGGACTCTGTACCAGGCGCTTCTTCTTGTGCTTCGTCTTCTCTCTTCTGGAGAGGGATGAAGGAGATCCTTAGCCAGAGGCATGCTAATATGGGGATGTCATTACCACCAGAAAGCTAGGCAGTAGATTTTTTAATAAAGAGAATAAACTCTCCATTGTGAGAGATACGACAACTGCCACCTGTGTGGCTAGGGTTCAGGACCTGGAAAAGGGCCATGCACAAATGATGACACTAGACAAGAAATATGAATTTGGAAATCATAGGGGGCCAGGTGGAGAACCCAACTCTACTGCAAGGGCTTCACTGGTGCCAAGGCCATGCTTGCTTTTTATTCAATTTTAGATACACATCTTGCCCTTAGAAGGGCAGGCAATTATGGTAGCAGACAGACTATCTTAAAGGTCAGTAAATATTAGTAAAGATTCACTTTGAGACTAGTAGATCAGGAAATTGCTTGAGCTACCATTGTCTCAACTAAATAATCGGTGCATAGCTTTAGCCCTTGCCAAAGCTCAAGGTCCATCAGTCTTCTGGGTTCCTTGTTTACACTTTCCTGATAGTGTAGATAATGGATAGCTTCCAGCACTCCATTTTTATATTTTCGCTAAATAGCAGATAAATGGAAGCCTAAAATTAAGTGTATTTTATATTTCAATTTAATTAGATGTAAAATGTATGGAAAATGATTCAAGTGCTGATCTATAGAGATACGTACAGTAATATTAAAATATCTCTTTTTTATAATGCATTAAGGCCACTAAGTGCTTTCATATATATTATATCATTTGTGGATAATACTCATGCATATATACACATATGTATATATGTTTGATTTATGCATCGTTATATACAGTCCCACTTCTGAGCTGTGATTTAGACATACTAAGTGACTTACATCAATTGACAATGTTA